GTATAAAAGTGACTCATATTTATTTGAAGTATATTTTAGCTTTGAATTTTTATTTTTCTGTGGGCTGTGAAGTCAATTCATCAAGAGGATATAATAATAATTCACTAAAAAATAGCTGAGCATGAGCCAGTGAGAAAGAGCAAACCAATAAGCATCTTCCTCTATGGTTCCTGCCTTAGGTGCCCTGACTTTCCTTGATGAATTTTGACCTGGAAGTATAAACCAGAGAAACCCTTTCCTCTCTTAAGTTGCTTTTGGTTGTGGAGTGTTGTGGGTTCTCCTCAGGCCAGCTGTGAAGACCCTGACCTGGATCCGATCCCCTGCCGATTGGGGGGTGGGGGCAAGAGGCGCGGAGTCACGACACACAGACCCCGGGAGTCAGGTAGAAGCAAGCACTAGGTGCTGCAGGCTTGTTTAATGCAGGAGGGGGCAGGCCTTATATTTCCCTTTTCTCCACCCCCAAGTCCCTTTAGTCAGCATATTGTTTTCTGATTGGTCCGCCCCACGCAGTCTGTCAGCAGTCACTGAGCTCGCGAGCAAGGTACGGAGGTGTGGACCCCTTTTGGCGGGCTATTACGGACCAAGAAGTGAAGTGAATTTTAGCTGAATCCCAGGGCTCTGGGTCAGCGCCATCTTTGGAGGCCTCCTGCTACAGTGGAGTTTATCACAGCAACAGTTGTGATGGCACAAGCCTGTAATCCCAGTGCTGGGGAGGTTGAGACAGGTGGATCCCAGGGGTTCACTGACCAGCCAGTCTAGGTGATTTGGTGACTTCCAGGTTCAGTGAGAGACTGTGTATCAAAAATAAGGTGGAGAGTGATTGAGGAATCCACTAGGCATTAACATCTAACCTTAGATTTAAGTATATTATAGTATGCCCCAAGTATTAGGATTGCAAGTACCACCATGCCCCACCTATATTTGTTAATTGACCATGTCTTCTTTTGGTCTTCTCAACTTTTTTTCAGAATCTGTATAACCTTGGCTGACCTGGAACTTGCTATGTTGACCAGACTAGACTGGAACTTATAGAGATCCACTTGTCCCTGCCTCCCCATTGATGAGATTAAAGACAGATGCCACTATGCATGCTTAAGTTGTTACTTTATATATTTGAAGCACCGCTGTTAAGTGCATACACATTTATAATCAATGTGTACTTCTCATAGCTTGGCCCTTATTAGTATAGATGTCCCTCTGTTCCTTTGGTCTTAAAAAGTATATTTTGTTCACATTGGTCCAACCCCTCTAGCTTTCTTTTGATTACTTCTTTCAGAGAATATCTTTCTCTGTTTTTTTTTTTTTTTAATTTTTATCTTTTTGAGACAGGGTCTCCCTGCAGCCCCCACTGGCCTGGAACTCACTATGTAGACCAGGCAGGCCTTGAACTCACAGAGATCTGCCTGCCTCTGCCTCCCAAGTGCTGGGACTACAGGCGTGCACCATCATGCCCAGCTGTTTTCTTTATTTTTTCACTTTCAATTTAACGATCGCTTTTGTGCTGGATAGCTTTAGTGTCAACTTGACACACCTGGGTTGAGGGACCCTCAGTTGGGGAATTACTTCTATTGGACTGGACTGTGGTCATGTCTGTGGGGCATTTTCTTGATTATTGAATGATGTGGGAGGGCCCAGACCACTGTGGGTGGTGCCACCCCTGGGCAGGTGGCCTGTGTTGTATAGGAAAGCAGATTGAGCATAGGCCAGGGGAGCAAGCCAGTACACAGCGTTTCTCCATGGCCTGTGCTCCAGCTCCTGCCTCCAGCTTCCTACCCTAAGTTCCTACCTTGGGCTCCCTGCTGAACTGTGACCCAGAAAATCTAAGACAAATGAAACCCTTTCCTCCCCAAGTTGGTAGTGGTTGGAATGTTTTGTCACAGCAATGGAGAGACAAACTAGAACAGCTTTGAATCTAAAGTGCATTTCGTGCCAGTAATCCTAACATTTCATAGGCAGAGACAGAAGGGTGCAAGTTCTAGGCCAGCCTGGGCTACACAGCAAGACCCTGTCTCAAATATAAATAATAATTAAATAAATAGATAAAGTGTTCTTGGGCTGGGGAGATGCCTCACTCAGTAATTTGCTTGTGACACAAGTATGAGGATCTGAATTCGATACCCAGCATCCACACAAAAATCCAGGTATGGGGCATTGGTTGCTTTTGCAGAGGACCCAGGTTCAGTTCCCAGCATCCACATGGTGGCTAACAATCATTTATAACTCCAGTTCCAGAGGATCTGGCATCCTCTTCTGATCTCTGAGGGACAAGGGTCCACTTACATAAATCTATGTAATACACTCATACACATAAGATAAAATTTTTAAAAATGAAAAATGTTAGCTGGGCATGATGGTGCAGGCCTGTAGTCCCAGCACTTGGGAAGCAGAGGCAGGCAGATCTCTGTGAGTTCAAGGCCAGCCTGGTCTACATAGTGAGTTCCAGGACAGCTGGAGCTACAGGGAGACCCTGTCTCAAAAAGACCAAAAAAAGATTAAAATTAATTTTTGTTTTTAACGTGTATGCGTGTATTGCCTGCATGTAGGTAAGTGCACCCATGTTGTGCAATGCCCGTGGAGGACAGAAGAAGCTGCCGGATCTCCTGGAACTGGAGTTATGAACAGTTGTTAGCTGCCATGTGGGTGCTGGGATTTGAACCCGGGTCTTCTGCAAGAACAACCAGTGTTCTTAACCGCTGAGCCATCTCTCCAGCTCCAAAAATGTTTTTAAAAATACTTTATTTAGGGCCATGCATGGTGGCACATGCCTTTAATCCCAGCACTTGGGAAGCAGAGGCAGGCGGATCTCTGTGAGTTCAAGGCCAGCCTGGTCTGCATAGTGAGTTTCAGGACAGCTGGGGCTACAGGGAGACCCTGTCTCAAAAAGACCCCCCCCAAAAATTCTTTATTTTTTTTTATTTTATGTGTACGTGTGTATTGCCTGCATGTAGGTAAGTGCACCCGTGTTATGCAATGCCCAGGAAGGACAGAGGAGGCTGTCGGATCCCCTGGAACTGGAGTTACAGACAATTATTAGCTGCCATGTAGGTGATGGGATTCAAACCTGGGTCTTCTGCAAGAACAACCAGTGTTCTTAACCGCTAAGCCATCTATCTCTCCAGCCCCCCAAAATTAAAAATGCTTTTAATAAGGTAAATGATAACTGAGGAACACTGACCAATGTTGACCTCTGGCCACATACACACATGCACATGCACCCACCCATGTGTGAGCACCTACACATATGAACACACAATAAAAAATTAAAGTGCTCTTTTAGATAGCATGTAGCTGAATCTTTGTTATCCATTCTCCCATTCTCTACCTTTTAAAAAAATTTTTTTAATATTTTATTTATTATTATTATTATTGTGTTTTTTGAGACAGGGTCTCCTTGTAGCCCCAGCTGTCCTGGAACTCACTATGTAGACCAGGCTGGCCTCAAACTCACAAAGATCCGCCTGCCTCTGCCTCCCAAGTGCTGGGACTAAAGGCATGCACCACCATGCCCGGCCTTGTATTTATTATTTTTATTTTATGTGTACGAGTGTATTGTCTGCATATATGTGAGTGCACCCGTGTCATGCAATGCTGCAGAGGTCAGAAGAGGGCTTCGGATTCCCCTGGAACTGGAGTTAAGAACAGTTCGTAGCTGCCATGTGAGTGGTGGGAATCAAACCCGGGTCCTCTGCAAGAGCAGTCAGTGCTCTTAAACACTAAGCCATCTCTCCAGCCCCAATTATTATTTTTTAAAACTTTTATGTGTATGTGTATATTGCCTGCATGTAGGTAAGTGCACCTGTGTCATGCAATGCCTGCAGAGGTCAGAAGAGGCTGTTGGATGCCCTGGAACTGGAGTTACGGACAGTTGTTAGCTGCCATGTGGGTGCTAGGATTAGAACTTGGGTCTTCTGCAAGAACATTCAATGTTCTTAACTGCTGAGCCATCTCTCCAGCCCTTCCATTCTCTTTTAACTGAAAATTTAATATATTTACTCTTAATATAATTGTAGACAAACACTGGCTTCTGCCATTTTGTTGTTTGTTAAATGGTTAGTTATTAATTATGGCATTTATAAACATTATCATTTTTCCTCCTCATACTTATTTTATAGTTGAAGAATCTAAAACCTAGAAATATGAGGTAACAGCCCTAATCTGTGGTGGAGCTGAGCTAAGTAAGATCCCAGCATTGCAACCATCAGTTCTGGTCTAAAAGTTATCTTGATAGTCTCCTGCCTTCCCATCTCACCCTCCAGAGCCATTCTCTACATGCAGTCTGAGAGATCTCTGAAAGATATGGATTCATAGACTTGGGAAGCAGAGGTGGGAAGATTGCAAGGTCTAGGCCAGTCTGGGTTGCATGGAAAGTTCCAGGTCAGCTTGGACCATACAGTAAGACTGTCTCAAAAAGTCAATTAAGAACCAGGCATGGTGGCATGTGCCTTTAGTCCCAGCACTTGGGAGGCAGAGACAGGCAGATCTCAGTGAATTCAAAGCCAACCTGGTCTACTTAGTGAGTTCCAGGCCAGCTGGGAGACCCTGTCTCAAAAAGACCCCCCCCCCAAAAAAAAGGTCAATCAGTAAATTTTAAAATGAAATAAATGAATATGCAAATCCAGTCATATCTCCCTTGCTTCTGATCCTCCAAGGGTTCTACCCAGGGACTGCCTATGCTGGCTCTGTAGCCATTGTGGCTGACATGTATCACTTAGTGATGAGCACAAGGCATCTCAGGAAGAAGAACTTAGGGTTACTGGATATAATCAAACAGCATTTGTAACTATAAAAGTTCTATCCTTTCCTGCCTGGGACTCACAGCACTATTGTCTTGAGTAACACTGACTGGTCTCTGAGTACATCTATCCTAGACCCTTGGAGAGCCAAGAGGATACCCCAGACATGACTATCAGCAGAAAGCTTCTGGTATGGCTTATTCCTGCCACATCCAACTTCACAGTTCTCTCTCTCTCTCTCTCTCTCTCTCTCTCTCTCTCTCTCAGTCCATGAAGATCCTGCAGGATTTGCTCACTGACCTTCATGCACTCAAGATCACCATCGAAACTCTCCAGAAGGATGTGGATGTAATAAAGTATATATTTGAAAAGGTATAGTCATTCCCCTATCCCTATCCTTTACTTGATCATGCTGGTCAGATCCCTGGGGACTAGGGCAGTAAGGAAAATCTAAGAGGCCCATCCTTAGTCAGAGAATGTGACTATAAAGGGAGGAAAAGGAGCTAACCTGCGCCAGCCAAATTGGCCTATCCCCTGAGTTCTCTCTGGTCCCTCTATGCACCTGCTGTAGTAAGCATCAGTGACAAAAATTCAGTTCATCTTGACTTAGGAAAAAATAGAATTTATTGTCTCACTTAAAAAAAATGTGTGTATAAGTATTTTGCCTGCAGTATGTAAGTGCATCACATGTATACAATCCCCACAGAGGCCAGAAGAAGATATTGAATGCTCTGGAACTGGAGTTATGATGGTTGTTAGCCACCATGTGTGTTCCAGGAATCAAACCCAGGTCCTCTGCAAGAACATCCAGTGCTCTTAACCACTCTCTTAACCATCTCTCCAGCTCCATGTGATCTTGTTCTCTAAAAAGCCCAGGGATACCTCCATGTACAGCCAGCTATAGACACTCAGATAACCTTGGCTTCTTTCTCAGTGATGTATTCCTTTGGGTTGGCTTCATTCTCAGGCAGATACTCCTCAAGTCTTGGCAACTCGAGGCTTAATTCCCTCAGCTTAGCAGAAAGGAAATACCCTTTCCTCTCCTAGGAAGCACTATCCACATTTGAAAAGCAGAATAAGCCTAGCATAGGCACATATATGAGCTCCTCCTGTAACTGCATGCCAACAGCCTGAGCACATTCTAGTACCCTACCAAAGAAAGAAAGAGAATCCCTGAAGCCCGAGGCAGCTGCTTCCAGACTAGAGCTAATGAAATTAAGTTGGAGTCAGGAGCCAGGTCTTTACCTCCAGGCCAGCACCACAGCTGAGGTTCAGCCACTTGCCCCAAATAGTGAATCACAGACCAGTATTGGCTAGATCAGGAAGCAGTACTATGAAACACTAGAAAGGACACCTTGAGCAAGTTTGAGAAACAGGTTTTCCTTCAAGGGGCCCACCTCTTGAAGATTCATTGTTCTGTTCTGTTTTGTTCTGTTCTATAACAGGGTCTCTTGTCACCCAGGTTGGCCTCTAACCTGATATGTAGTAGAGGATAACTTTGATCTTCTGATCCTTCTGCCTCCATATCCCAAGTGCTATACTTATAGACATGTATTGCCTGCCACTACTGGTTTTATGTAGTGCTACAGATCAAACCAGGGCCACATACATGCTAGACAAGCACTTTACCATCTGAGCTATATTCTCAGCTCTCCTCTTCAGGGTTCTTACTTTTTGGTTTCGGTTTCTTGAGACAGGGTCTCCCTGTAGCCACAGCTAGCCTGGAACTTACTATACAGACCAAACTGTCCACAAACTCACATAGATCTGCCTGCCTCTGACTGCCAGGTACTGGGATTAAAGATGTGCACCACCATAGCTGGGCATGCTCAGGAGGCAGAGGCAGGTGGATCTCTGTGTTTAAGTCCAGCCTGGTCTACAGAGCAAGTTCTAGGCCAGCTGGGCCTATAGGGAGACCCAGTCTTCAAAAAGACCAAAAGAAAAAAAAAAGATGTCCCACCATGTCTGGCTCTCTTCAAGATTCTTAATGTTCTGCCCATTCAAGGTTCTGAATAGCTCAGGATTTATTAACTACTTTTCAGACCAGCATTTCCCAAACTTTTAATTTATGGAAATTCTTTGACATCTCTTCCTCTCCTGGGAAACTCCATTTTTCCATCTCAAATTCAAACCTAATGTGGTGGCTAGGACCACCCGTACCTCAGCCTCAGATCAGGCTCCTTGAACAGGTAAATCCAGAAAGAGTGGATCTCGTCTGTGAAGACTTGAAAACACAGAACCGGAAGATGGGCGCCCTGCAGCGGGAAGTGGTGAGGGCCCTGAGTCCCAGCCTCCTGCCCTGGGCACTGAGAGCCAGAGGGGTGGGGAGAAGAGCATAGTAGGGAAAGGCTTCACATATATGTGGTGGACAGTGTGCATGGCAAGCCCCCCAGAGCAGGTGTAGAAGCCATCATATCTGCTCCCACTCACAGTTATATTCCCTACCACACAGGTTACTCTCCAGAACAAGATACACGCAGTCCCCAAACCTGAGGACATAGTGCTCTGGAGTAGCCTTCATGAGGCCATGTTCACTTCAGTGAGTAGAGGAAAAGGAGGAGTGGGATAAGGGGAACATGAGACCAGTCTAGCCAGCTCAGTCTTTCTTTTGCAGGTACCTGCAAGGCTGGATCTGGACATGTCCAATATGCTACAGGCCATGGCACCTCCTCCAGAGGCTACCTTTGCCCAGTTTGAGGATGCTGGCCATGCCCATGTCTCACAGTCTATCCATAGCACCATTCCCTTGCAGACTATGGTGCATTTTGAAGCCCCAGGAGTCCTGTCAGAGGATGAATCTGTTCAGGCCATTGAGTTCATCGGCTCCCAGGGGCTAGAGCAGGCTCAGGCTTCCATGTCTGAATTAGGGTTTGGGTCTGCATTTGGGCCTGGGCATGTACCAGGGCCTGATGTGAGACCTTGTTTCATGCCAGCCCCTTGGCCTACACTTGGACCTGCCCCAGGTGTAAGGCCCCCACCACCAAGAGGCTGTCCTGGGCCAGGAGGCTGGCCTGGAGCCACTTGGCCTACGTGGGATTTGGGTGCCTTCCAGGCTGTCGTAGGTCCCTTAGGCCCTGAGGGTCAAATGTACAGGGCCCTTCCCCCAGCCATGGAATTTGGATCATCATGGCCTCATCCATTGCAGCACCACCCTCCTAAACCGGGGTCCCAACTACTCTCAGTTCTTGAAGAAACAGGGGATGAATATTATACTGACTCTCAGGAAGGGACCTCCAAGGATGGGGCTCCCCATGATGAAGCTCCCAAGGACATGACCCACAGAGATAAGGCCTATAAAGATAAGGCCTTAGAAGCCCACTCTAAGGGTTCCCGGCCTGCCCTAAAGAAGCTGAAAGACACTGTTACTATAGCTGCAGCTGCTGCTGCAGCCTATGCAGCTGCTGCAAACTCAGCAGCCCAGGCTGCTCTCAAGGCAGTCAAAGATGCCCCTGCCAGCAAAATGGCTGCCATGGCAACAACTACTGCAGCATCAGGACCCTTAGGGGCCTTTTCAGATGTCCTGGGTGCAGCGTCTAGCCGTGGAGCCACCAACTTCATGCCCTTCAGTGATGATGGTGAGGATGTGGAAGATTTGCCTATAGACTCTGAAGAGTTCTCTCCGCCAGTCTTTCCTCCCATTACACCAAAGACAGCCCTGTCTCAAGCCATGCTGGCTGCCATGCAGGCTGTGAGTACTGAAGACAAGAAGAAGGCTGTTCAGTACTCCATGAGCCATATAGCCCAGATACCTGTCAGACATAACTCTCTGAAAGAAGAACTTACCCATCTGTCAACCAACCTGCAGCAGCGCTTGACTTACCTAGGTAGGCTTGGCCAGCCCAGGGGAGGGCAGTAAAGGCTCAGGACCTTCCTACAGCTTTCCTCCTTAGGTTTCCTCAGCAAACCCTGCATTCAAACATTAGCCACTCATTCCTTTGGCTTAAACACTAGCTGCTTCTTAGTAGTCTATTTTTACCTTGATATTGAACTCTTGATATTCCTGCCTCCATTTCCTGAGTCCTGGGATTACAGTACCATGCCCAGCTTCCATGTGTTCTTTGATTTTTAAAAACTGTGCTAGAAAATGTACCATTACCTCCAAGTCCCCCAGGCTTACTACATTTCTTTGGGACATGGCTGTGCTTCAGGACAAGCACAAGTTCTAGCCAACCATCTTCCTCCTTCAATCCCTCCAGCAACCACACCCTTCTTTTGCTTTCAGCTAACAAGGGAAGCGCCGTTAAACTTGGCAATACAATGAACGTACTAGAGGAAAAGATTGGTAACCTCCAGAAAGCCAGGCTACAGGTCAGTGGTGCTTGCAGAAAGGAGCTTTTGAAAAGATTAATGGCTTGGAGTGAGCTGGAGACCAGTATCCTGACCTTCATCCCTACTGGATGCAGCTGATTTGTAGTTGAAAAGGGCCTTGGGAAAGTGAGTGGGATTGGGATAGCAGCTGCAGACATGTAAAATAATCCAGCTAGTGCATGGTTCTTGGACAGGAAGCTCTGTGGTTCCTGTCAACAAGTGTTTAATGTGGCTGTCAGATGTCAGGAGTGCACAAGCCTAGTACCTCATCTTGGCCTCAGGACCCTTCTATTCATGGCAGCCTTGGAAGCAGAGGCCCTGGATGACTGTCTACCCTGTTTAGGAAGAAGAACTTGAGAGAGTTTGGGGCCACCAGATAGAGTTGATGAAGAATCACTACATGGTGCTGGACAGGACAGTGGAAAAGCTCCAGATTCAAATGGATAATTTCAAGGTTTGGAGGTTTGGGGACTGGGAAGGTATAGGAGAATTCCTCCTCAGGGCACTGTGACCCCCCCCCCAAGGTTGTGCAGAAGGGCTGTACTGAAGCCTGGAGAAACAGAGGACATTTTACTGTGTATAAATTATACTTCAATTAAAAACGAATCCGGTGTGGTGGTGCACGCACTTGGGAGGCAGAGGCAGGTGGATCTCTGTGACTTCAAGGCCAGCCTGGACTACATAGTGAGTTTCAGGCCAGCTGGGGCTACAGGGAGTCCCTGTCTCAAAAAGACCAAAAAAAACCCAAAATTGAACCTAGGCCTCATTCATTACTTTTTGAGACAGAGCCTTACTAAGTTGCCCAGAATAGCTTTGAATTCATTATGTGCCCCAGGCAGATCTTGAACTCAAGATCTTTCTGTTTCAGCTTCTCAAGTAGCTAAGATTACAGGTATTCACAACTCTGCCCAAATTTGTGGGGGCTTCTGGTTCCAGGTCAAGGAGCTGTTGACTTGGTAGGTTTTATAAGGATATGAAGGCAAAGCGGGAGGGCTGAAGCTAGCCCATGGCATCGTGCTCCCAAGCTCATTACAGTACGATCAGGACACACATACAAGGCAACTTTGAACAAAGAACTCTCAAAAGAGGAGCCAGTTTGTAGCCTGGAATGCAGAGGTAGCAGGGAGAATTCACCATCTTTAGATGTGCATAGATGGAGGCTGTACAAAGGTGAATGATATACAGAACTGAATACTTGGATCTTGGAGGGCACCACTGACCAGAAGCCACATTCTCCCCTGCCAAACTCTGGGCTCCCCACCTTTTTTTGTCTTTTTGAGACAGGGTCTCCCTGTAGCCCCAGCTGGCCAGGAGCTCACTATGTAGACCAGGCTGATTAAAGGCGTGCACCACCAAGCCTGGCATGGGCTCTCTATTTTTAAAAAATATTTTATTTATTATTTTTACTTTATGTGTATGAGTATATTGCCTGCATGTATGTCAGTGCACCCGTGTTGTACAATGCCCATGGAAGTCAGAAGAGAGCATAGGATTCCCCAGAACTGAAGTTAAGGACATTTGTTAGCCTTCATGTGGGTGCTGGAAACCAAACCTGGGTCCTCTACAAGAGCAGCCATCTTTTCAGCCCCTGGGCTGTCTATTAATCTCAGATCTTATGAGAGGCCTGAGTCACCATGTCCTGAAGACATCTTGGGCTCCCCCTCTCCCCCTGCACACAGAAACTGGAGACAGCTTAATTATGTCTGCTGTGTTTCCCACATGATACTAAGCCCTGCACAAGAGGAAGATGGGTTATAATGTTTGCCTCCAAGTAGCTGTCACTTAGTGAAAGGCCTTCCAAACAATGTCAAAATGGAGCATGTTGAAGTTTGTCCCAATTTTCTTCCTGGCTCTTGTGCCATCAAGATTTAACTGCTTATAGAAGTTAACCCTGAATCTAAAATGAGGCTTTGTATACACTCATTAAATATACATTAAATATTTTGTAGGGCCGGGCGTGGTGGCACATGCCTTTAAATCCCAACACTCAGGAGGCAGAGGCAGGCAGCCTGGTCTACATAGTGAGTTCCAGGACAGCTGGGGCTACAGGGAGACCCTGTCTCAAAAAGACCAAAAAAAATTTTTTTTGGTGAGCTGGTGAGATGGTTCAGCATGTAAGGATGTTTGCCACCAAGCCTGACCACCAGAATTCTATCCCTGGGACCCACATGGTTGAAGGAGAGAACCAACTCTCAAAAGTTGTCCTCACATTTGCACTGTGGCATGAATGTGCCATACACATATACATGCAAATAAATAAATAAAAATACACACACACACATACACACACACACACACACACACTGTGGGGGCAGAGACAGGAGGATCACTGGGACTTGCTGGCTACCAGCCTAACTCCAAGTTCAGTGAGAGACCCTGTCTCGAGGGAATAAGATGGAAAGTAATGGAGGAAGATACCAGATGTCCTCCTCTAGCCTTCACAGATGCACAGACACACACACTACACACAAAGAATAAAATTTAAATGATTATTTTTAGTATTTTGTTTTGGTTTTTGAAACGGTCTCCCTGTAGCTCCAGCTGACCTGGAACCTGCTATGTAGACCAGGATGACTTTGATCTCACAGAGATCAGACTGCCTCTACCTCCCAAGTGCTGGGATTAAAAGCATGCATCATCATACCTAGCTCAATGATTTTTCTTTTAAGTCTAAGAGCTCAATTAATTCTTACCTACTTATACACTTATGTGATCCCCACCCAGTCAAGGTAGAGACATCTCTTTGACTTCGAAAATTACCTTCCCCTCTATGGGCAGTAGTACTTGCCTATAATCTCAGCACTCAGGAGTCTGAAGCAAGAGAATTGTGAGTTTGAGATTAGCTTGAGTTACAGAACAAAGCCCTGTCTCAAAGTATAAACAAAAACAACAAAAAAAGTTCTTTTCTCAGGGAATACCAATTATGCAGAGAAAGGCACTATTGCATCGTCTGTTACCCTAGATGAGTTTTGCCTGTTTTGGGACCTCATGGGATTATAGTCTGTGATTATTTATGATGGTGCTCTGTGGGACCTTTCAGAGAGATTGTCTTTGTAGACAAAATACCTTAATAAACTACTGGGGGTAAAAAGATGAGACCATATCAGGCAGGGCACAAGTTAGTAAGACTGTTGAAGCTTACTGAGTGCTGAAATCCCAGCACTCAGGAGGCTGAGGCTAGCCTGGGCTACATACAGAGACCTTGTCTAAAATAAGAAAGGTTCAGTGAGGTGGGTAAAGGCTTGCAAGGTAAAGGTGCTTGCTGCACAAGCCTGGTGACCTGAATTGGATCCCAGGAATCCATGTAAAGGTAGAAAGAGGAGTGATTACCACAAGTTGTCAGGTGTGGTGGATACATCTTTAATCCCAGCTCATGGGAGGTTGAGGCAGGAAGATCAAGAGTTCAAGATCGTTCTCAGATATATATTGAGTTTGAGACCAGCCTAGGTTACATGAGATCCTGTCTCATAAAAACAAAAGGTTAGGGGGCTGGAGAGATGGCTCAGCAGTTAAGAGCACTGGCTGCTCTTGCAGAAGACCCAGGTTCGGTTTCCAGCACCCACATGGCAGCTAACAACCATCTATAACTCCAGTTCCAGAGGATCTGATGCCCTCTTCTGACTTCCATGGGTATTGTATGACATGGGTACATGCAAACAATAGTCTTATACACATAATTTTTTGTGTGTCTTTTTGAGACAGGGTCTTCCTGTAGCCCCAGCTGTCCTGGATTCACCAGGGAGACCAGGCTGGCCTCGAACTCACAGAGATTCACCTGCCTCTGCCTCCCGAGTGCTGGGATTAAAGGCGTGTGCCACCATGCACAGCACCACATAAAATTTTTTAAAATAAAAATTTAAAAATATTAGGAATTGGGCTGAAGAGATGGCTCAGCAGTTAAGAACACTGACTGTTCTTGCAGAAGACACATGGCAGCTAACAACTGTCCATAGGGGATCTGACAGCCTCTTCTGACATCCGTGGGCATTGCACAACACAGGTGCACTTACCTATATGCAGGCATAACACTCATACACATAAAATAAAAATAATAAATACAATATTTTAAAAAATATTAGGAATGTCCACCATATAATTTTGAGGTTTTTAATCTCTGGGACAAGAAGTATCTTTCAAAGTCCTGCTGCATACACTTGAGTTTGCATTTGCTTTGGGGAGGATGTTTCAGAGAAGGGACTGGTTGCTTAGCTGGGTCAGTACCTGAGAGAAGCCACAAATGCAACAGAGAACAGGTGACCAAAGAACCTCAGAATCCTCCCAAACCATAAGAAGGTCTTTAGATGTCCTATAGATATGGAATCTCCATTTCAAAAAGTTTATACTTGCCAGGTGTGCTGGCACAGGTCTTTAATCTCAGCACTTAGGAGGCAGAGGTAGGCTTATCTACATAGTGAGTTCCAGGCCAGCCAGCCACATAGTGAGACCTATCTCAAATACAAAGAAGCTTATACAGGCCAGCAGGCACATTTCCAAGTATAAAAGTCAAGGTAAGAGATGTCTCTGGTGGTTTTCATAAATGCCACTAATGTCCAGTGTGCTATCATCTGCCTCCAGTTTTTCTATGTGAGCTGAGTCATACTGTTGGTTCTTGTCTATGAAACTGTATAGCCAATAGGCAGATCCCAATACAGCCTCCCATATCAGCTTGAGAATTGGCTGCAAGTCCTCCCACCCACACTGTAGAACTGACCAAGCATTTAATCCTGCCTTGTCTCTGGACTCTGCTAAGGCTCAGAAAGTTACCCATGTAAGGAAGCTTATCAGCCCCATAGAGAACTCCATCAGTCCAAACAGAGCAGATACCACTTTGTGCCATTCTCCATCCTTATCAAAGAGTGGCTGTGCAATAGTGAGTCACACTTAAGTATGTATCAGAACCTTTGAAACTGTGTAGTACCCTCTTACAACTGCATGAGATGGGCCTCTGCAACCAATAGGATATTGCAGAAATGTGTGACTTCAGATGCAGGGTCGGAAAAGGTACTGTGGCCCTCTGAATCTCTGTTGACTCCAGGTGCTCCTTGGCTTGTGGATGCATCACTTCCTTCACCTCTATGGTCACATGTCCTTTCTGTGCATCTGTGTGTCTTCACATGGTTTTCTAAGGATGTCAGTTATTGGATTGAGAGTATTCCTTAATCCAGTATGATTCCATATTACCTTATCTAATTATATCAGCAATGAGCTGAGCTGGCCTTAAACATCTAGGGAACCAAATCACATACACTGGTTTATGCTTCCATGGTTCTGCCTCTCGTGAAACCATCTCTAATGGCAGCTTGTCCCCAATCTCATATTCCTTCTCTTGTGTACCAGTCACTCTGAGCTTGTGAGCCTGAGCCTTCTAATCCAGCCACCTGCCTGCTGTCCACCTGGCCCTGGTTCCCTTCCTAGCACATGGCAAAGGTGGAGACACAAAGTAGCTGTTACCCTCAAGGTTTCAAGAAAGGCTGACTTGCCTCTGCTCTGTGTTTAGACTCTCCAGGCTGAAATCAAAAGGCTGGAAATTAACAAGGTGGATAAAACCAAGATTGATCAGGAGCTGAGAGAAGTGAGTAAGCAGAGGGGCCTCTGCCTCCCACCCCCCATTAACCCTAAACCCCTGCTTTCCCACCCAAGGGAACTAAAAAACAGGCAAAGCCAGCCAGAGAGCCTTCCAGAATTTCCTCTCTCTATCCATACAGTAAAACAAAGAGGCTTCTTAAAAGTTACCCATCAGGCTAGAGAGATGGCTCGGTGGTTAAGAGCACTGACTGCTCTTGCAGAGGACCTGGGTTTGATTCCCAGCACCCACAGGGCAGCTAACAACTGGAGACACAAAGTAGCTGTTACCCTCAAGGTTTCAAGAAAGGCTGACTTGCCTCTGCTCTGTGTTTAGACTCTCCAGGCTGAAATCAAAAGGCTGGAAATTAACAAGGTGGATAAAACCAAGATTGATCAGGAGCTGAGAGAAGTGAGTAAGCAGAGGGGCCTCTGCCTCCCACCCCCCATTAACCCTAAACCCCTGCTTTCCCACCCAAGGGAACTAAAAAACAGGCAAAGCCAGCCAGAGAGCCTTCCAGAATTTCCTCTCTCTATCCATACAGTAAAACAAAGAGGCTTCTTAAAAGTTACCCATCAGGCTAGAGAGATGGCTCGGTGGTTAAGAGCACTGACTGCTCTTGCAGAGGACCTGGGTTTGATTCCCAGCACCCACAGGGCAGCTAACAACTGTTCAGTAACTCCAGTTCCAGGGGAATCCAATACCCTCTTCTGACCTCCTTGGCATTACACGACATGGGTGCACTTAAATACATGCAGGCAATACACACATACAAATAAAGTAAAAATAATTTTAAAAACGTTACCCATCCATTCCTCTTTTCAGTGACTGGGGATTAGTGATACTCTGTTATAGGAATTTAAAAATTAGACATCAGGCTGGGAATGTAGCTTAGCTGATAGGGTGCTTGCTTATTATACATAAGGCCCTGAGTTCAATCCCTAGCACCACATAAACTCTGCATGGTGGCACATGCTTATAATCCTAGCAGTGAAAACAAGAGGATCAGGAGCTCAAGGTCACCCTTGAATATCTGCTATAAAGCTACTTGGGATACATGAGACCTTGTCTCCAGAAGCAAAAATAAAAAACCACAGATAAGAGGATCAGGAGCTCAAGGTCACCCTTGAATATCTGCTATAAAGCTAACTTGGGATACATGAGACCTTGTCTCCAGAAGCAAAAATAAAAAACCACAGGCTAGCAGGAATGGCTCATTAGGTAAAGGCACTTGCTGCCAAGCCTGACGACCTGAGTTCAATACCCAGGACCCACATGGTAGAGGGACAGGGCTGCAATTTGTCCTTTGACTGCCACACAAACAAGCAAAAAAACAATAAAGGTGATAATTTTTTTTTGAAATCACACATCAACCTCCCTGTCCATAGAAAAACCTTCGTTCCTATCCCATGATTGTATTTGAGCCACTGTAGACTACAGAGCTGAACTTAAGCCAAGGCTAGACATTCATGGCTTGAAATAAAAAACACCAAGCAAAGGATTCAGAGGTAGTCTTCTCCAGCAACCTTGCCACCCTGAGCCCTGTCTCTTCCTAGAAAGCTGACAAGGGTGCAGTGGCAAGCAAGGCAAACCGGACCGACCTGGAGGCTGTGGCAACAGAGCTAAACGAGATGGTTCAGAGCATGTTCTTGAAGATCACGACCCATGAGAATGACTGGAAGAAATCTCTAAAGCATATCAGGAAGGACTTGAACACCAAGGTGCGTCTACCTGTACTAGTAACACTTGCTATATAACAAATTGCCTCAGAACTTAGCAGCCTCAAAGAGCAAATGCTGATGGTTTTGAGGAGCAAGAATTTGGAAGCAGCTTAGCTGGGTGGCTTAGGGTCTGTGGCCCACAATGTCAGAGTGATGGTGTCATTCTGAGCTGTATCATCTGAATGAGCTGAGGAGCTATTTCAAAGATGGCGCCCTCATGTGACTGCTGGCAAGATGCTTCAGTTTCTCATATAAGGACTCCTCCTCAGAGTCACTTGAGCAGCCTTACAATATGGCAGCTAACATCCTTCCCCCTAGCAAGTGATTCAACAGCAAAAAGAATGTGCAGTGTCTTTGTGACTTCACAGTAGGAGCCACCCTCCCTCATCATTTCTGTACCGTCTGCTTGGTTACACAAGTCAGACCTATTCAGTGTGAGAGGTGATGATTTGAGTGGATCCAAGCCATCTATCTGGGAGCCTTCCTTCCAGAACTCTGCATGGTACATGCAAATGGACAGGGTGAGGTAGAAGAGGCTTTCCGCAGAAGGACCATGCCTATCATGGATTTGTTCATTGGTCATTCAGCGACTGCCTTAGCTTCCACACCTGGAAAAATGTGGACCAAGAGTCCTGTCCCACCACCTCTTGTACAACCTCACAGACTCAGTAGTGACTGTGTCATGTAGCTCTTGTAACTGCAGTAGTTGTAGCCAAAAGAAACCTGGCTTAGAATCAGGTAGTTCTTGGTTTGAGTCTTGCCATGAGGCTCAATTTTCCTATCTGTAAAATGAGGATTGATTAATTTGTCAGTTACTCGTGGGGTCCCAGTTGTGCTCCTCACTAGGTAAGCAATGAGCAAAGCAGATGGGGGCAGTAGAGACATGTTTGGCAGAGATAGGGCACAAATCAATGCAAAGTCACAACCTCATAGCATTCCACAGACCAGCTGACCTGTTTTTCTTCAGTAAATCAATGCAAGGGTAGGAGAAAATGGAGATAGATATACAGATTATTCTAAACTAAAAGAGCCACAGGAGCTGGGCATGGTGGCACTCACCCTTAATCCCAGCACTCAGGAGGCAGAGACTGGCAGATCTCTGTGAGCTTGTGGCCAACCTGGTCAACATAGCAAGTCCTAGGCCAGCTGGGGCTACAGGGAGACCTGTCTCAAAAAAAATAAATAAATAAAAATAAAAGGTCACAAGAGTGCAAACAACCAGCTGACAACAGATGAGGAGGTTTTGCCTCTTGCTGCAGTGGAACTGATTCTAAAAAACAGCATGTAATCCAGGCATTCAGGAGGCTGAGGAAGGAAGATTACAAATTCAAGGCCAGCTTGAGCTACAGAATGAGTCTGAGGTCTGTCTTAGGCTCCATAGCATGACCCTGTCTCAAAGGAAAAAAAAATAGTCAAAAATAGACAAATCAGTTAGATGTGGTGGCACAAGCCTTTAATCCCAGCACTTGGGAGGTGGAGGCAGGCGAATCTGAGTTCAAAGCCAGCCTGGTCTACATAGAGAGTTCCAGGCCAGCAGGTCTACAGGGAGACTCTGTTTCAAATTATATAT